GCATGCTCATCACCATGTTAGGTCATCAGATGATCCCAAAAAATATATCTCTGCAAAAATAAATAAATGATTGCTAGCTAGCTACGTTTTTTCCTCGATGGACCTGCATTTATAATGTATCCAATTTCAGTTTGTGTATTTGTTGGTTTAGCTTTCTGTACATTTGTAGCAAGTACGGTCTGCATGTGTAGGCGCATATTACTTCATGGTTGCAACATGTCCCAATATCTTTTCCAATTGTCCCGATATCCTTTCCAACTGTCCCGTTATCTGGTTTTAATGTCCATTCTAGAATGCCCTTCTAGCTAATCAGAAACGAGTATTCAACAATGCTGTGGTATAAAGTATCATAAAAAGTACTAAAGCAATTTTAGTCGCTCCTAGTCTAGCAACCTTGCCAGAAGGCATGCCAGCTAGATAGTTAGATAAGGTACTCTAACTTGATTGATAGCCTGAAATGGCTTGGTAGCTAGTTATGAGGTTGAGAGATGGTTAGCTAAAGCCAGCTTCATAAATTGCTAGGTGGCTAGTATTACCGAGAAACAAGAAAACATTTCTGTTTTATTTATTCATCAAAAAGGACTCAATAGGCTACATAGCTTGATCAAATTAATTTGCAAACATACCTCCTGTGAGTCTCCTGCCCATTACCGGCAGCTAAAATCAAATAAAATGCTGTGTGTGTCACTCGACACTCTCGTCCTCCACTGACGATACTATCTGCACATCCTGCCTTGCATATCTTTGCTCTGGGGTACACCTTGGAAGGAACTACATACTAGGGACCTAGGGGCCTGGTCCAGTCAGTGTGCTCACTCCGCAAAATACCGCTGACAGATCTTTTTTATAAATAATAAGGATAAAACATGGGCTTAAAAATTAAGTTGAGTAATATTTTAACATAAAAATCTAAGGGGGCACATGCCCTTGTGCCACCTATGGGCATGACGCCTCTGGTTCTAAGGCACAGGTGTCAAACTCATTCCACGGAGGGCCGAGTGGCTGCGGGTTTTCACTCCTCCTTTGTACTCCTTTGAACTCCCCACACCTCTTCTCCTATTATAAAGGAAAAACCAAAAACCTGGTTAAATAGTGGACAGAACATATGTTGGGTTATTTTCATCCAGCCAGTTGGGTTGCGTGAATAACCGAACAAATTGGGTTGTTGGGATTACCCAAAAATGGGTTAATTTAACCATCAGTTGGATATTTTTTACTCTAATGCTGGGTTGACTTAGCAGCTGGGTCTTTTTTAATGTCATCTTTAGGTTATTTTCAGGAGGCGTGGCTTATTAGGGGCATGTCTTTCAGCTAGATCTTATTGGCCACCCATGAGAGTAAATGCCATTCCTGTTCATCATGTTAAGTTTATATACTGCAAATGCAAAACATTTTTTACACATTCTTCTATAGCATTATGATTATTTATTATAATAAGGTATACCACCTTATTGTATCCCAACATGATAACAGATGAACAGGAATGACGTTTACTCTCATGGGTGGCTAAAAACAACTATCTGAAAGCCACGCCCCTACTAAACTATGCCTCTAGTCTTCTGATCTCAATAACCCAGCAGTTTTTTAATAAACAACCCAACTAAGTGACCCAACGCCTGCAACCCAGCAGTTGGGTCAACTAAACAACCCAGAATTTTTTAGAGTGCACTTCCCTGAGAAGAGGGAGAAAGAAGCACACAGTGCTTTGCCTTTGTTCCATAGTCATAACTGCAGTGTCTGTGGAGACTGACAGTCGAATGGCCACATACAAAAAATGTTTCTCAGCTACAGAACACTGATAGAAAGCTTCATTCAATCGCAGCCCATTGAAGTTTCAAGCTAGTCTTACTCAGGGGCCGATATCAAATATTTGTAATAATACCATCTGCCAAAGTATTACAAATATTGATGCCAAGTCAGCACCACTGTCATACTGCTTGTGGTTTCTATAAAAATAATAAGAGCAAGACATCAAAGAGCCTACTTAGTACATATTATTGAAATGACAGAAGGATAAGCATCCTCACACTTGAAGAAAGAGGGGTTCTCTCTCCTACTGTGTGTGTAGAGATGTAGAGATAGTCCAGAGTGGAAGTCCACCGATATTCCTAGATAAGATTGTTGATGATTGCCGCCACACCATGAGTAATTACAGTACCACAATGATTTGCTTTGGGAGGCTGTTGACATTTGACCTTTTTGTCATTTGTACAGTGCCTTGCAAAATTATTCATCCCCCTTGGCGTTTTTCCTATTTTGTTGCATTACAACCTGTAATTTAAATGGATTTTTTGGGGGATTTCATGTAATGGACATACACAAAATAGTCCAAATTGGTGAAGTGAAATGAAAAAAATAACTTAAAAGTGGTGCGTGCATATGTATTCACCCCCTTTGCTATGAAGTACCTAAATAAGATCTGGTGCAACCAATTACCTTCAGAAGTAACATAATTAGTTAAATAAAGTCAACCTGTGTGCAATATAAGTGTCACATGATCTCAGAATATATACACCTGTTCTGAAAGGCCCCAGAGTCTGCAACACCACTAAGCAAGGGGCACCACCAAGCAAGCGGCACCATGAAGACCAAGGAGCTCTCCAAACAAGTCAGGGACAAACTTGTGGAGAAGTACAGATCAGGGTTGGGTTAAAAAAAAATATCAGAAACTTTGAACATCCCACGGAGCACCATTAAATCCATTATTATAAAATGGAAAGAATATGGCACCACAACAAACCTGCCAAGAGAGGGCCACCCACCAAAACTCACGGACCAGGCAAGGAGGGCATTAATCAGCGAGGCAACAAAGAGACCAAATATAACCCTGAAGGAGCTGCAAAGCTCCACAGCGGAGATTGGAGTATCTGTCCATAGGACCACTTTAAGCTGTACACGCCACAGAGCTGGGCTTTACGGAAGAGTGGCCAGAAAAAAGCCATTGGTTAAAGAAAAAAGTAAGCAAACACGTTTGGTGTTCACCAAAAGCCAGGTGGGAGACTCACCAAAGATATGGAAGAAGGTACTCTGGTCAGATGAGATTCAAATTGAGCTTTTTGGCCATCAAGGAAAACGCTATGACTGGCACAAAACCAACACCTCTCATCACCCCGAGAACACCATGGTGGTGGCAGCATCATGCTGTGGGGATGTTTTTTTAATAATAATATTATAATATGCCATTTAGCAGACGCTTTTATCCAAAGCGACTTACAGTCATGCGTGCATAAATTATATATATATTTTTTTGTGTATGGGTGGTCCCGGGGATCGAACCCACTACCTTAGCGTTACAAGCGCCGTGCTCTACCAGGGACTGGGAAACTGGTCAGAATTGAAGGAATGATGGCTGGCGCTAAATATAGGGAAATTCTTGAGGGAAACCTGTTTCAGTCTTCCAGAGATTTGAGACTGAGACGGAGGTTCACCTTCCGGCAGGACAATGGCCCTAAGCATACTGCTAAAGCAACACTTGAGTGGTTTAAGGGGAAACATTTAAATGTCTTGGAATTGCCTAGTCAAAGCTCAGAACTCAATCCAATTGAGATTCTGTGGTATGACTTAAAGATTGCTGTACACCAGCGGAACCCATCCAACTTGAAGGAGCTGGAGCAGTTTTGCCTTGAAGAATGGGCAAAAATCCCAGTGGCTAGATGTGCCAAGCTTATAGAGACATACCCCAAGAGACTTGCTGCTGTAATTGCTGCAAAAGGTGACTCTACAAAGTATTGACTGGGGCGGTGAATAGTTATGCACGCTCAAGTTTTCTGTTTTTTTGTCTTATTTCTTGTTATTTTCACAATAAAAAATATTTTGCATCTTCAAAGTGGTAGGCATGTTGTGTAAATGAAATGATACAAACCCTCAAAAAATCAATTTTAATTCCAGGTTGTAAGGCAACAAAATAGGAAAAATGCCAAGGGGGGTGAATACTTTCACAAGCCACTGTACTTGATCCTGGATGCTTAAAACATAATATTGTTTAAAAGGAGTGACACATCAGACCCTGTACGAAAGCTCTGCTGTTAAAACTCAGACTGGGTTGTAATTAAATTTCAACGGAGACCCCGAAACCCAAACACGAAGACAACAAACAGACAAAATGTTATTTGTGTGTGTTTTGGTTATACATGTACTTATCTGATGAGGAGGAGATAAATATTGTTTTGAGAAATTACCCCTCAGTGTGCTATCCCCATAGCCCCAGTGATTGGTTGTACGCGGCCATGTTAAACATACTGATGTGTGCTGCTGATGATGCAACAGGATGAAGTTACGTGTAACCCAGAAGCAACCCACTTGTGTGGCACAGCGTCTACATCCAGATTGGTTGACATGCTACAACTGATCTGGTTGTTAGTGTAGTTAGTATAGTTTGTGTAGTTTTTGTAGTTTGTGTAGTTATACTAGATGGTGTCTTCAAATAAGTCTAGCAAACAAATGCAGTTGCTGTTTTGATTTGAAATGTTTCTCACATATACAATGGGGTCTTTTGTAATAAATGTAATCAACAGCCCTCATAATAGTGTTTTCTTGGATGTTTTGCCAAACATTTATTAAATATGTTTCCCTAGGATTATGTCTTTCAAGGGGCTGCCCCCCTTCAAGGGTGTTTCTGTGCTTCCAGAGAGCAGCATTTCTTTCTCTCAATTTAATCGATTTGAAACTAATCTCTGTAATACCTAGAAAGATATTTCCTCTATTTGTTCAAGAGGCCCTCTCTTGACATTTTGTTACTTGGAAGGAATCCGAAAACAGGGTTCCTCTCCTCCTCTCCCTTTAGATATATGTCTTCAACCTTGGGTTAAATATTTCACATAGTGTAAATAATCTCACTTTATGAAATAATCATAGAAAAACACATCACAAACTGATGAAATAGTGAGGAAATTATTGCTTTACATGGTTTGTGCATGCATGTCTGGGTGCCCTATGTGCATGTGTTAACATGCAGTACATACAAGTATGTGGATGTGGGTGTACCAATTAAGTGGCTGACCTGCAAAGTTAAGCATCCGGATGTGTTTGAGCAGCAGAGTGCCGTTGATGGGGTCCATCCTGGAGCAAAGGCCCACCTTCCCTGGACAGAGCTCCCTGTGCATGTTGTGCAGCGCGTGGGCCATGGAATAGACTGCATCGATCACAAACTGCACCTTCCCCTCTTGCTCGTAGTTGGAGTCCTTCCCTATCCGCTCCTGATCTGTAGAGCAGAGAGAGAACCAAGTTAGGTATCTGAGAAATGCAATACATTATAGCATTGGTTACCAACCCCAGTATCATCTTTTGCTTCATAGAAAAGTGGATTCAAATCATATGAAGAGTATTACATGTGATAGTTCACATTATGTTCAAAAAAATAATAATAAATAATACAGCAATACAGCATCAGGTAGACAGACCTACATGTCTTTAAATATTACGTCAAATTACATGTTATGTGTGTATTGAGCTTCTATTGTGTTGATCCTAACAGTGGGTGATTATTACATGCTGGTAGTGACCACATGACTAGCCTCCATACTGTGATGGTTGTTGGAGTTACAAATCAAGGAAGGAAATAACATCCTTTTGCTGGTACTCAATTTCTCCATTGATAGCCTTGTTAAGCAGAATGTTAATTCAGGGACACACTAGCGTGACTGCTGCGAGGCAATCATTACACCCATATTGAATTGGATCTTTAAAATGTGTATTTGAAATGCTCATCAATCTGGTACTAAATATTTGTGATTGGTATTCCAACAGCTGCGGTGCCCTATCAAAAAGAAGAGTCCACTTTAAAGGGCTAAGTGGGTCCTTTGTTTGGGGGAAAAAGTCCTTACAATTATCTACTTAAAGACTGTCATTGATTTTGTGAGCTGTATGACCAATGGTTACTCCGGTATGAAGAGGGCAGCCAGGCAGCCAGCCAGCCAGGCAGGCAGGCAGGCAGGCAGGCAGGCAGGCAGGCAGGCAGGCAGGCAGGCAGGCAGGCAGGCAGGCAGGCAGGCAGGCAGGCAGGCAGGCAGGCAGGCAGGCAGGCAGGCAGGCAGGCAGGCAGGCAGGCAGGCAGGCAGGCAGGCAGGCAGGCAGGCAGGCAGGCAGGCAGGCAGGCAGGCAGGCAGGCAGGCAGGCAGGCAGGCAGGCAGGCAGGCAGGCAGGCAGACAGACAGACAGACAGACAGACAGACAGACAGACAGACAGACAGACAGACAGACAGACAGACAGACAGACAGACAGACAGACAGACAGACAGACAGACAGACAGACAGACAGACAGACAGACAGACAGACAGACAGACAGACAGACAGACAGACAGACAGACAGACAGACAGACAGACAGACAGACAGACAGACAGACAGACAGACAGACAGTCAGACAGTCAGTCAGTCAGTCAGTCAGTCAGTCAGTCAGTCAGTCAGTCAGTCAGTCTAATGGCCCTGGTCAAAAGTAGAGCACTACATAGGGATTAGGGTGCTATTTGGGACACAACCTATGCCTATTTAATTACCACCAACTGGACTCTACCACCAGCTGGACACTGCATGCTCTCACAATGCCAGGTCCACAGTCATCCTGCCAGTTCCTTGTCAATCTGAAATGTTAGGAACTCAGTGTGTAAAGTAAGTCATCAAAGTACAGTACGCAGCTAAGCCAGTTCTGTTTGAACCACTTAAAAAGAGTAAGACCTTTTAATGGAAGTCATGGCAGAGGGCCAGAAGGCATGGAGCAAAATGCATTACTCTCCGTTAGTTTAGCGTCTAGGCCCTAATGCACTGACTGACTGACTGGACCCTCCCTGCCGCTCACAATTAGCTAGAAGATCAATGTTTAGCTAGACCACTGCAGAGGAGCCAATCAATTCCAATATGAGGAGTGTAAGGTCTTCTTCTCAGAGAAATCACGTTAGTAAACTAAAACTATATTTACCAAAACGTTCTGTTTGTCGATGTCCAGTGACGTATATGTTGGTTGATGTCATATATGTGATGCATATATAAGATGTCAAATATACAACATATAAGTCTTCTCTCATATGCAATGTATAAGTAATATGCTGTATAAGCGACATATACTGTACGTAATCTGATTGCCACCCCATTCTGACTGCACTACATTCACAACCAGCTCTAGAAACGTATAATCACCTTGAGCAAGGTAAGTAATTACTTTTTGGAAGTAGACAGACAGGCAGTGAATGAGGACAGCCAGTTTTGCGAGGGGAGTAATCAACTATTGGAGTGAATGTAATCGCTTCTGATACGTGTTTTAATAATCATGGAGCATTTTTTAAATTTATTTTTTACATATTATTTGCTGTCAGGCATTAGGGGGCCTGGGTTGAGAGATGACATGCCAATCCAAACTCCTCCTGGTCTTCTACCTCAGGAGCCTTTGGTCTGAAATTAGTTTTCCTCACGACTCCACTGTATGTGAAGGAGAGATAAAGAATGTATGAGTATGTTCAATTTAGATTAACAATAGAGTAATTATCAGGGATGTACTAATGAGCTAGCTGAATATATTCATACACCTGCCAAATGGAATTTAATTAAGTATTGTGAGTTTAGAAGTGCATGGCAGGGGGTTCCACAGGACTGTAAGTTGGGGTGGAGAAATGTGTTGAATGTATTGCCTGTACTTGGGTTCCTCGTAGATTGTGTTTGTTGTTCTACAATACCATGTTGAGCTAGTTTGCTTTTGGGGAGAAAATATTTCTCTAGGGAAGAAGATTGATGGTCTTTGTATGTAAGCATAAATCCACTAGGGAAATTAGTCTCTCTATAAGTGGGTCTATTTGGTCAATAATGTGGTCTTTAGTTTGAAGCATGACAATCAATCCTCATGGACACTGCTTCTATTTTCTCCCACTAAAATATACTGTATTTTCAACCATTGTAAACCCAATAGCTATGGATTTGTGATATGTAAGCAGGAGAGTAGGCCTACTCCATACTAGAATACTATCAAAAACTTTTCTTTATTACTTTCACATATAATAGACATTTCAACATATTTATTTGAGATTTTAGGTATTTTTTGCATGGAAATACTTTTTCTCACTAGAGACTGCTCTTCTTAATTTCTCTTGCAACGACTGTCCTGATACGGGTGTAATATAATTTTCTTATTTTAGCAGAACCACTTCAACTTAAAAGCTTGCTAGACCCAAATGGATGTCTCTTTCAGTCATCTTTCATCTGCGATATATCTCTGCTACAGCCAAAACTAAAGGCAATTTAACATCTCTGATTAGCTCATGCTGTCCATAGGACCACTTTAATCTGTCCATAGGACCACTTTAAGCCGTACACTCCACAGAGCTGGGCTTTATGGAAGAGTGGCCAGAAAAAAGCCATTGCTTAAAGAAAAAAATAAGCAAACACGTTTGGTGTTCGCCAAAAGCCATGTGGGAGACTCCCCAAACATATGGAAGAAGGTACGCTGGTAAGATGAGACGAAAATTGAGCATTTTGGCCATCAAGGAAAACGCTATGTCTAGCCAACACCTCTCATCACCCCGAGAACACCATCCCCATGTTTTTCATCGGCAGGGACTGGGAAACTGGTCAGAATTGAAGGAATGATGGATGGCGTTAAATGCAGGGAAATTCTTGAGGGAAACCTGTTTCAGTCTTCCAGATATTTGAGACTGGGACGGAGGTTCACCTTCCAGCAGGACAATGACCCTAAGCATACTGCTAAAGCAACACTCAAGTGGTTTAAGGGGAAACATTTAAATGTATTGGAATGGCCTAGTCAATGCCCAGACCTCAATCCAATTGAGAATCTGTGGTATGACTTAAAGACTGCTGTACACCAGTGGAACCCATCCAACTTGAAGGAGCTGGAGCAGTTTTGCCTTGAAGAATGGGCAAAAATCCCAGTAGCTAGATGTGTCAAGCTTATAGAGATATACCCCAAGAGACTTGCAGCTGTAATTGTTGCAAAAGGGGGGTGAATAGTTATGCATTGTCTTATTTCTTGTTTGTTACACAAACAAAACATATTTTGCATCTTCAAAGTGGTAGGCATGTTGTGTAAATCAAATCATACAAACCCCCAAAAAATCAATTTTAATTCCAGGTTGTAAGGCAACAAAATAGGAAAAATGCCAAGGGGGGTGAATACTTTCACAAGTCACATGAATTAAAGAATCAGGTTACGACTGTGGTAATTGAGCGCCACAGGCACCCAGATTGGACAGACAAATATTGTCACGGTTTGGCTGACACGGTTGGGCTGTGGGGCAGCCCGGGAGCGAGCGATGGGAGTGATATATCTCTCTCAGGCTAAGGCATGGCGGCCCACACACACACACAAACTTGGTATTGCCTCTCTCTTTCCCAGCAAGGCCTCTCTCATCTCATTGCTGAGTCGGAGCACGCCCACGCACACCCGAGGCTGGCTCTCTGGCTTCAGAGAAATCCATTCAGATTAGGAGTATCAGCACAGAGAGGGTGTCTCCCTCTACAAGGGTGCCACAGAAGGGAGTTTGCAACAGAGTGGGTTGGCTCTGACCCCGTTAAACTCTGCATGCTTGGGTTTGGCCATAGACCATGTTTCCCTTCATCGTCCAGAGAACTTGGACTTCATCCATAGCCAATCTTCATCCATTCCTTCACATGAGAACATCTCCCTATGTGTGCCTTAGGGAATACATAGGATGTTTTGGTTGATGCCCATCATGGAACATTCCCAATGTCCTGACCTTTCCAACTCAAAACCGCCAAGCTGAAACAAATGGATGAAACAGGATGATCTAAACATTTTACAAACTGTTCATTAGACACACATCAGTTTGGTACATTAAATCCATTACTCTTTTCATTATGGTAATATGACATGATCATGGAGAAAAGATTCACCCATTGTGTCTGTGGTGCTCTGCTGCATGCTGTTCTCCCCTGTATGAATTAGCTGGAAGCATCAAACCCCAGGAGAGGAAGCTGGGCCCCATTCTACCTTCCTGCTCATCTCCACCTTAATCAATATCAGCTGTGTATCTCAGTCATTCACAGATACAAGACTAGTCTCTCTCTGTCTCCAATCCACTCACACACTCGCTCTCTCTTTGATCACTGTGAACACACAGAGCCCTCTCAGGACATTGATTATTCCTCACCCACAGCTCATGTGGTCCGCTTGAAGGGAGGTACAAAGCCTTCGCCAGCACCACCAGGGACCCCTGGAGAATTGCATGTGGCCCTGAAACGTGCTTCCTGAGTGGCATCCTTCCCTCCGAGAAAAGGGAGAGTGGATTGCAAAGCCAAATAACTTTCCGACTTTCTGCTACGTCAACAAACTTACACACAGCCTTAGAAAAACAACACTGCATCATATTTTCAGCAAACAGAGCTGTGACCTTGTATTCAACTCACACTGTCACTCAAATTAATCCTGCACAGCCTCTTCACATGTCAAAGCCCTTCATCAGAGCTTCATTTTGTCTGAACAGGATTCTCCTTCGCACATTTAGCCATTTTAGCATTCCCCCACCCCAAGCAATAGGTACAGGGTCATTCTAGAATTTACATTTTAGTCATTTAGCAGACACTTTTAGCTAGATGAGACAACCACATATCACAGTCGTAGTAAGTAAATGTTTTCCTCAATAAAGAAGCTATCAGCAAAGTTAGTGCTAGTATGAAAAGACAAGTGCAATTTATTTATTAAAAAACATTATTATAATTTTTTTTTTTGGGGGGGGGTGGATAAGACTGACTGAGATGTCTTATTTAAGATACTCTTTGAAGAGGTAAGGTTTCAGAAGTTTTCGGAAGATGGGCAGGGGGAAGCTGGTTCCATCACTGGGGTGCCAGGACAGAGAAGAGCTTTGACTGGGCTGAGAAGGAGCTGACCTTCAGTAGGGGTGCGACGGCCAAGAGACCAGATGCGGCAGAACAGAGTTCTCGGGTTGGGATGTAGGGTTCTAGCATAGCCTGAACATAGGGAGGGGCAGTTCCCCTTGCTGCCTCGTAGGCAAGCACCATGGTCTTGTAGTGGATGTGAGCTTCATCTGGAAGCCAGTGGAGTGTGCGGAGGATCGTGATGACATAGGAGAACTTGGGAAGGTTGAACACCAGGTGGGATGCAGCATTCTGGATAAGTTGCAGGGGTTTGATGGCACAAGCGGGGAACCCAGCCAACATAGAGTTGAAGTAGTCCAGATGGGAGATGACAAGTGCCTGGATTAGGACCTGAGTGAGGAGAGGTCGTACTCTACGGATTTTGTAGAGCATGAACCTGCAGGAGCGAGTCACTTCTTTGATGTTTGCAGAGAATGACAGGGTGTTGTCCAGGGTAACACAAAGGTTATTTGCACTCTGGGAGGGGGACAAAGTTGAGTTGTTGACCATGAAGGAGAGGACTTGGAGCGGGCAGGTCTTCCCAGAGAGGAAGAGCAGCTCTATATTGTCGAAGTTGAGCTTGAGGTGATGGGCTGACATTCAAGCTGAAATGCAGAGATGCGTGTTGCCACCTGGGTGTCAGAAGGGGAAAATGAGAAAAGTAGTTGAGTGTAATCCGCATAGCAATGATAGGAGAGACCATGTGAGGATATGACGGAGCCGAGTGACTTGTTGTAAAGAGTGAAAAGGAGAGGGCCTAGAACCGAGCCCTGGGAGACACCAGTAGTGGGAGCACGTGGTGCAGAGCCTGAGAGTGTGCAGAGCCTGAGATGCCCAGGCCTGAGAGGGTGGAGAGGAGGATCTGAGGGTTCATCGTGTTGAAGGCAGCTGATATATCTAGGAGGTTGAGAACAGAGGAGAGTGAGTCTGCTTTGGCAGTGTGGAGAGCCTCCGTGACACAGAGGAGAGCGGTCTCGGTTGAGTGACCTGTCTTGCAGCGAGACTGGTTAGGGTCAAGATGATCGTTCTGAGAGAGATAACGAGAGAGTTAGTCAGAGACAGCACGCTCAAGTGTTTTGGAAAGAAAAGAAAGAAAGAATACCGTTCTGTCATTTTTGGCGTCTAAGGGGTTGTGTGTTGGTTTCTTAAGGAGGGAAGATACTCTGGCCATCTTGAAGTCAGAGGGAATGCAGCCAGTGGTCAGGGATGAGTTGATGAGGGAAGTGAGGAATGGTGTCAAGGGGGCAGGTTGTCGGGCGGCCAGACATCACTAGTCACATGATTTCATCTGGAGAGAGAGGGGACAAAGGGGTCCAGGCGTAGAGTAGTTCTGTGTGAGTGGGACCAGTGGACTCAATAGGCTGAGTGAATGAGAAGCGGATTTCGTCAACCTTCTTTTCAAAGTGGTTGACAAAGTCGTCCTCTAGAGAGGGAGAAGGGAGGGGGAGGATGTGGAGGATTACAGAGGGAGTAGAAGGTGGCAAAGAGAATCCCAGGGTTGGAGGCAAAGGCTAGAGGGTAGAGCGGAGGGAGTGGAAGGTTGATAGGTTCTCCAGAAATATATACAAAAATAAAATATAAATGCAACATGTAGTCCCATGTTTCATGAGCTGAAATAAAAGATCCCAGAAAGGTTCCATACGTACAAAAAGCTTATTTCTCTAAAATGTTGTGCACAAATTTGTTTACACAATAGCATTTTATCGATGGCAATTTGAAAGCACAGAGATGCTGTGATGAGATCCTGAGGCCCATTGTTGTGTCATTCATCTGCCACCGTCACCTCATGTTTCAGCATGACAATGCACAGCCCCATGTCGCAAGGATCTGTACACAATTCCTGAAAGCTGAAAATGTCCCAGTTCTTCCATGGCCTGCATACTCACCAGACATGTCAACCATTGAGCATGTTTGGGATGCTCTGGATCGAAGTGTACGACAGCGTGTTCCAGTTCCCGCCAATATCCAGCAACTTCACACAGCCATTGAAGAGGAGTGGGACAACGTTCCACAGGCCACAATCAACAGCCTGATCAACTCTATGCGAAGGAGATGTGTCGCCCTGCATGAGGCTAATGGTGGTCACACCAGATACTGACTGGTTTTCTGATACACGCCCTACTTTTCTTTTTATCTGTGACCAACAGGTTCATATCTGTATTCCCATGTGAAATCCATAGATTAGGGCCTAATGATATTATTTAAATTGACGGATTTCCTTATATGAACTCAGTGGTGGAAAAATAACCCAATTGTCATACTTGAGTAAAAGTAAAGATACCTTAATAAAAATTACTCAAGTTAAAGTGAAAGTCACCCAGTAAAATACTTATTGAGTAAAAGTCTAAAAGTATTTGGTTTTAAATATCCTTAACTATCAAAAGTAAATGTAATTGCTAAAATATACTTAAGTATCAAAATTAAAAGTATAAATAATTTCAAATTACTTATATTAAGCAAACCAGACGGCACCATATTCTTATTTTAATTTTTTTACGGATAGCCAGATGCACACGTCAACACTCAGACATAATTTACAAACAAAGCATGTGTGTTTAGTGAGTCCACCAGATCAAAGGCAGTAGGGATCCCCAGCGATGTTCTCTTGATAAGTGCGTGAATTGGACCATTTTCTTGTAAAAGTTGTCCAAAAAAAAGTAAGGTACAGATACCCCAAAAAAAATTTTAAGTAGTACTTTAAGGTATTTTTACTTAAGTACTTTACACCACTGTATGAACTGTAACTCAGTAAAATCTTTGAAATTATCGCATGTTGCGTTTACATTTTTGTTCAGTGTAGTTTTCCTCCATTTCCTCTCAGCTTACCGCAGCCCTGTTCTGTCATTCATTCATTATTTTTAATTTGCTTTTCTATTCAGCACCTGAACAAGTTAGATGTGTGTATTTGTCCTTATTCGTTCATTAGTCCTGTACAGTACGCATAAAGAGTAGATAGGTGTGGATGCACGTCACAATGGGAAAATATAAACACAACTGGAGACACCTCGTCATTTTTGGAGATAGGTTATTACATTTATATTGAACAAAAATATATAAACGCAACATGCAAAGTGCGGTCCCATGTTCCATGAGCTGAAATAAAAGATCACAGAATTGTTCCATACGCACAAAAAGCTTATTTCTCTAAAATGTTGTGCACAAATTTGTTTACATCCATGTTAGTGAACATTTCTACTGATAGGTATGGCATATCAAGACGCTGATTAAACAGCATGATCATTACACAGGTGCACTTTGAGCTGGGGACAATAAAAGCCCACTATCCGCAGTTTTGTCACACAACACAATGACACAGATGTCTCAAGTTTTGAGAGAGCGTGCAATTGGCATGCTGACTGCAGGAATGTCCACCAGAGCTGTTGCCAGAGAATTGAATGTTCATTTCTCTACCATAAACCACCTCTAACATCGTTTTAGAGAATTTGTCAGTACGTCCAACCGGCCTCACAACCGCAGACCAAGTGTAATCACGTCAGCCCTCCACATCCAGCTTCTTCACCTGCGGGATCGTCTGAGACCAGCCAACCTGACAGCTGATGAAACTGAGGACTATTTCTGTCTGTAATAAAGCCCTTTTGTGGGGAAAGTGGGTGGGCCTGGCTCCCAAGTTGGTGGGCCAATGCCCTCCCAGTCACACCCATGGCTGCACCCCTGCCCAGTCATGTGAAATCCATAGATTAGGGTCAAATGCATTTATTTCCATTGACTGATTTCCTTATATGAACTGTTCCTCAGTAAAATTGTTGAAATTGTTGCATGTATATTTTTGTTCAGTATACATTTTAGTAATTTAGCAGACGCTCTTATACAGAGCGACGTACAGTAGTGAGTGCATACATTTTCGTACTTTTGCGTACTGGTCCCCCGTGTGAATTGAACCCACAACACTGGTATTGCAAGCCCCATGCTCTACCAACTGAGCCACACAGGACATTATTGACACGGTAGTGCTACAGTAGCTAGCAGAATAGTGTAGCAGAAACGCGATTGCTAACTAACTGTAAGCAATTTTAGCTAGCCGGATAATCATCCTGCGCTAACTATGAGGCGAAAGAATTCACTTATTTACCGTGAAGTTCAGAAAATGTATTTGCTAGCAAACACCACAGTGTCTCCAAAACTGCTAGGTGTCTCCAACAATGTTTACTTTTTGACATTCTATGACGTCTCCCCTTTCCAAGCGTATTGTTCATTTTTAAAGAAAAGGCAGAGCTTCCAACTGTCTTGATATGTCGTCCATATGAGTTCAAGCATTTAGATTGGCCAAGGCTTCAGCCACAAAGAGCAATTTGGATGTCAAGAAGTGCCAAAAAATAACACATTAGTCCAGAGCAGCTGTGCCAGAATGCATTGAGACCAATCTATCTCAGTGTGTTACGATCATGCATGGATGAGTTGATGAGTCAATGAGCTGATGATGTCTCAGTCCCCCAACTCTTCATCCTCCAGGTCCAATTTCTCCAACCTCTACTCAGATCATTCAGCTAATTGCTAACTTGTCATCATATGAGTCAATTCTTTTGTGGGAATCTATAGACATATAGCTATATCCTTGGCTTTCTGACAGTGGTTTTTCTTCTCTCAGATTGGTTATTAACACAGAGCCAGTTCATCCATGAAAGAGTGGTGCAGTAGACAGTGGCACTGCGAGGATGTGACAGGTCTTCTGTATAGACGGACAACATTGATCTGTTGAAATCTTGTTTTGCAATCTTTTTCCCAATAGAGACCGAAGACATGTCTCCAGTTACTGACCCCACACCGTTTTTAATTGTTCATTTTTGTATTACTGGTGTATTTGAAGAGAGATGGCCTCTAATCAACTTGTAGTTTTCAGTTGGATACCTTGCTGCACTCCCATTAAGACAGAAGTGCTAGCCTAAGGACCTAAAACCCACACAATAAAGAACAAAAAGGGAGGAAATTCTGCTCTTAGTGCAGCTTTTGCCAGTTTTGTAGTATATTATGAGAACTTGGTTGCTATTCCATGGAGCAGTGTGATTAAACAAACACACAATTACAATGTACCTTTATTGAAAGCCAATTACAACATGACTATGAATTATGCTTGCTTCATGAATTTTGAGGATGTCCATTTGCTACATGTGAATGCCTATTCTATGATTTTTGTTGTTCTGTATTTTCTAAGTGTTGTTTCCACACTTTGACACGGTGATTGGTATTATTGCACCACCATGAAGGCAAGTTTCTCACATAAGAAAATATAAAAATTTGACAACTGCAATCGCAACAGGCATCATTTGATTTTAAACCAATAGGGAATAACGAGACAATATTTGCATTTTGCTGTTAACTGTGTTTCAAACCATCATTATACTACTAGCCTACATGTCTTCTCTCATGTACAGATAGATTCGTAGAGCAGCTAGAGAGAAGGTGTTTAGCTCCAAGTCAAGATTGAAAGGCTGGGGTGAATTTGTGATGATCAAACAATATCTGGGACACGAAGACAGAATACTCCAGGACACAGCTGGATTGCATATGGCAGTGAGCCTGAAGGTGGAGATTTTTAACCATGCAGACCTGCTACTACTCTAGTAATACCTCATCACAAGGAGATACATTTTGAATCTAGCTATTGTCGTACCTCTCTAGCTTTAACTGGTATACACATTTTTGTCATGTATCGTAAGCCATGGGCCAAATCTGTTATGTTCTAGGATAAGCACAGGCTTTTCCTGTCCCTACCTGTGAAACATAACACTTTGCCAATGGTAGTTGAGATCAGTAAAGCTGCAATGGTCAGAAAGGAAAGGAGAATTGTCCTACTTGTGCATTTCTTCAGCCCGGACCCTTTCTTCAAAGCGTGTCGGCTCAGCTTGCAGGCGAAGTTGTTCTCCCAGAACTCAGCAAACCAGATATTTCTCCTGTTGTTCTCCAGTGTGCGGCTGATGAAGTAACGATCAAACCCTGGAAGAGATCGATCAGATCATTGTCATTGAACAGGACAGTAAATGCCTTATCTTTTACAACAACTTATCAGGGCTTGGAAGTGTTCTGTGTTAACAGGAACACGATCTGTTGATACTTAAAGGTAGAGTCCTTAGTTGCTACAGTACAGTACCAATCTCTTGACTTATAAATGTATATTTACCCATTGATTCTTAAAAAATATAACTCATAAATGCCTTATGAGCTCAGTTCAACTGTCGTACCCCATCAGAACCCAAAATATAACTTGTTTTTTAATCCAATGTTTCTAAACAATTTCAATCTAAACAAACACTCTGTAGCCACACAACATGGTTAAACTATACATTTGATATCATGGATTGTCATTCCTTGCATCCATAGCTCTGTCTATGAATTTGAGAATGGTTACATTTCTCCAGCCCATCCCTCAGCTTTTTAGCGAAACAGGGGCAGGGAGTTGCTTTGTTATTGTTTCAATTAAGGATTATAGCTTTACCAGAGATATCTCTATGTGAGGGGGAATAGCTGCTGGCACAATAACATACTACTGATCCATGTCTAAGTTTGTAAACAAAATGTAATGTTTTCCAATATTCTGTAATATAATCTACAATGGCATTACTTATCGCAATCGCTTTATTTTTGTACATTCAGCTAAAGCTACATGAGATCTACCAATCAATCAATCAATCAATTAATCGGACAATCTTATAGTTGATCATAGCAGCCTAGAACATTTCTCTGTTCACCCTCACCTCTGATGGACTGGCGTTTGGGCAGGATGGTGACAGCTCCCTCTGCCATCTCTTCTTGGTGTAACACTGGCGATATCTTTGAGCCCCAGCTGTCTGAGCCCACCCAGATGAAATGGCCAGTCTGGTTGGCCTTCTTGGCTGCTTGGAGTAGCCGCCTGGTACAAGTGTATAAACACATTTAGCTACCAATAATGTATTTTATATTTTGGTAACACTTTCTATGAGCTAACTATTTGGGCAGTACTGCATAAGAACTACACAACAGTCACTGATAAACTGTAGTACACAGCGTTCATGATTCAACTTGAAGGTACAAACTCATTTGAATGATGTTGTATTGGTCTGGCTGGTCTGCACTATAAACAAAGTGATGTGTATGGTCTGGTGTGTTGTGTACCCAGAGAAATCATCCTCATTTTCTACGAATAAATGTTAACAATATATACAAATATTTTCTCCAGCTTTTTCGTTCGTCACTTGAGTTTGCTAAATCAGGCTTATTGAAGGCTACATTAGTCATCCGAAGCTGATTGCACAGCGGCAGGTAACATTGACTAATATCAGGACAACAGAGGGCTAAACGATGAAAATCATTTCCAAATGTATCCTGTTGCCACTAAGATAAAATAAGGAAGCATATTAACATGAGTTACCGACAGAGAGTCTAATAGGGAGAATCATGATAGCGCTTGACCAAGAACATTTTAAAGTAATTATACAATGCATAATTTCAATAAAGCTTTTTATTCCTGCCGATTGACTCTTCTTCTCCCTTTAAATAATAATCTTTCATGCTGCGTGTTTCTTAAGATGATTTTATTTTATTTTATTATTTTTCATATTCAACGTGACAATGCTATGATAATAATACCCTTACCTAATATCATCCTCATTGGCGAAAATGATGACCACCCTTGCATTTGGGTTTTCTCTTAGTCGGCGGATGACCTTGCCAAACTCTCCCGGTTTTGGCTCACGGGGAATCTTGACCGACTGAGAGATACACACACCTCCTACAACAGAGAGAGAGGAAACACACAGCAGTTGAGTGGCAGGTTATGTCCAGGATTGGAAGGTTTTCACATTTTACAGATGCTCAACTTGAGCTATCAGTAGATCACCAATAAGCGCAGAGCTCTCAACAACATCCTTCTCTGAGGTTTGTGACTAAGCATGAATCCTTTGGCTTCACTATTAAGGGGGCAATCTGCATTTGCAACATCCATTTTTTGACTTTTAAATTAATGATATATAGACATTAATTCTTGAAGAATATAACTTATAAATGCCTCAAGAGCTTAGTTCAACTATATAACCCCATCAGGACCCAAAATATAAGCGTGTTTCACTACATTGTTTGTAAACAATGTGATTGTAAACAAACACTGTATAGCCTTTACTTTATTCAGTTTATTTTGACAAGGACAGTGCACATTAATAAACATTTTAGTAAAAGTGCAGGATTTCGCCAGCCGACAAATTTTCGACCACAGTCCCTGGGCAGGTTATTAAAAACTCATAAAATGACAGACAATAAGCACATATAGAACAACATATGACAAGCAACACTATGCAACGAAGACAGAGCAATAACACAAAAAGAAGACAACAGACAACTTGGAAAGCGCCTTTACACAGCTAGAGATTGTGTTGACACACCTGATTGTTCTTTAGCCATGTCTTTAGGTTATGTGTGAAAGTGCGGTAGGTGGCACCGTTGCGTGTGTCTAAACGCATTGTGTTCCAGACATGGGAAGCTCTTTTGTTGCCCCTGTAGTCAAACAATTCTGTATGAGAAATTAGCCAGTTTGAATTTGGTTATTTGAGTTACCTTTTCCACCTGCTTTTTGAAAGAGAGATTGGAATCAAAACATGGTTAGAACTATAATTTTGATCTCATGAATGGTCAGTTCTTACATCCATAGCTCTGTCTATGAATTTGAGAGTGGTTACATTTCACCAGCCTCAGTTGTTTACCAAAACAGTGGTGGGGTGGCCTTTGTTGTTGTTTGAACTGCAGAGACTGCTTGAAATAAGAGACTGCTGAGGGAAGGACGGCTCATAATAATGGCTAGAACGGAGCGAATGAAATGGTATCAAACACATGGAAACTGTGTGTTTGATGTACAGTATTTGATACCTTTCCACTCATTCCGCTCCAGCCATTGCCATGAGCCCGTCCTCCCCAATTAAGGTGCCACCAACCTTGGTGGGTAAGAATATCTATTTCACTAGCCATGTTGGTGGGTGGTCAATTTACAGGGCTCTATGGTGCGAGCATTACATTCATGAATAAAAATTGTCAAAAGTCAAGTATAAGCACATATGCGAGTTTGAGGTAGAAAAATGCTGCAGTAGCTGTTTTCAAAGTATTTCTGCTGTTTTGTTTCATAGCTGTTAATTGCACAAATATATACTAATCCTATATCCCACCTCGCGCAGCAACACTGCCTGGCAAAGGAGCTGAGCTCACTGAGTGAAGTGCTGATAGATACATTTTTGGAGGCACTGCGCACTGGCATAAAGTTGGTCTAATTTACTCAAAAGTCTACAAAGTGAGACTTTGTCATCGTGTTTCCTGGCTATTTATTTCACAAGCTCGGTTGTTTTTCAACGTTAGTTTGAGTCTGCTACTTCAACTGATAGCAAAGAGACACCCTAGTCAGATCCCAAATCTCACACACAAGTGACAGGACTCGAGTGGCCCCGTTACCATGGTAACCTCCCACCCTTAAAGGGGCACCTGGACATTTTCTCTGATATTTTGATTAACTAGAGTCGATTTGCGCAGCCCCCATAAAATTCTGTCAGTTTAAGCTTGAGATATTCTTAACATTGGATGTGTCTCAATCCACCACATCCGCCGATGTCACACTTCCATTTCTGCGATGAAAGGTAACAGAGCTAGAGCTGAAAGGTGACAGAGCTAGAGCTGAAAGGTGACAGAGCTAGAGCAGTGTTTGTCAGATCATGAGAAAAACGTCCCGAAAATCGGTCTTCTCACAAAATTGTCTGTAGCGTCCGAACAGTTTGGCCTACAAACTATTATAACCCGTGTATGGAAAGATGAGACTCTCACAAACACTGTGGTGTTCTCCATTTCGGGACTCGTCTGAAGTCGGTACAGTCGATCTGCCAACTTCTGTCTGTTGCGTCCGGACAGTTTGGGCCACACACTGTGGAAAGGTGAGACTCTCACGAACAGGTACATGTTGGTTGTTTTGCTCTAGGATGCCCACAGGACTCACAAGGCTCATCTGAAGGTCAAAAGGTACCAGCTGATTTTTTTAAATGAAGTATATATGGAGATTGTTTAGTACCAAAAATAAGGGGTTAAATACATGTCCATTTAAAAAAAAAATGTTTCTTGATCTTTCTTATATCTGTCAGAACAAACTGCTTTTAGATTTTGTTGGAGGGGACTATCTGTTGTTCCATGTAGTGAATATTTTATTCAATGCGTTTATATGGGCTAATAGCAGTAAGGCCAAATTCAATTTTTCATCAAATCATTTGTTCTTCATTATCCTTGGTATGACCTTCTTAAAACAATTCCAAACGGCTTAGTAGAACCCCTATTTGTGGGCATTTAGCTTGTGCAGCTTCACAGAGGGATTAAACATTCTACATTCTCACCTTTTGGGTGGGTGGACTGATACATTTGATTAAGTAGTCGGTTGTGTGGTCATTCATATCATTGCCTACTTGATCCTCTTGAGCCACTTTAGATTCTGACCATCATGCCATTGTGTTCTCCCCTCAAGCAGTGTTTGGCTCACTCCACAAGTAGTCATTGAGTCAGTGAGTGTTTGTTGTGATGTTAATACCACATATTCCATTAACTCTCCTCCCTGCTCAGGCTGAATACATGTTTTGCCTGCATTATACAGTATTTAACAATATTGTTTTGATACAGTAATAAATGAATGTGCTTAATTTCACAAAAATGATTAGCAAAACATATGTCTGTTCATTTCATGTAAACAATTAGCCACCCAAAACAAAAACTAATTACCAGTTAACTATATATTTTTGGACATAACCGCAGATGCCCTTGAATCACTCCCTGTTATTAGCATAATATCATAACAATAGATATATGGTGTTGTGGTTTATAAATGCTTGGGATCTGCATTGGATTAGGTGCACCACAAATTCCCAATTGAACCACTTGCACTGCTATATTGATGTTGTATCAAAATGTCGATATCGGTGATTCAGAGCATATTATTGTGGCCTCGTGTAAGCCTATGATGTTACTTTACACGCTGGGGTAGCGTACTGTAGATCACATAGACAACTGTACCTGGAAGGTTATTCTGAACCTTAAATTAAACTGACCAGAATCTCCTGCATAAAGGGACCAAGCTGAGTTGAGGGCAGAGGTTTCAAACAGTTGACTTCCTCCTGACCTCACTCAAACTTCAACAAGGCAGAGCTGCCTTGGGCAGACTGCCTGACCCCTGTGCAGTAATACGCAATCTATGTGCACAACAAGCCTTTGTTGTTTGATTATATTTGTTGCCGTTTTTTTACCCTCTGTGGAAAGGGTTCTACCTGGAACCCAAAATGGTTCTACCTGGAACCAAAAAGGGTTCTACCTGGAACCAAAAAGGGTTGTCGTATGGGTAAAGCCGAATAACCCTTTTAGGTGCTAGATAGCAGCTTTATTTTAATAGTGGACAGTATATATACAATGTCTGCTATATTTTGAATAACTTAGAGACAAGCAGATTGTAAGTCTGCCATTTACTTCAGTCTCACCTCAGGCTTGACATAAAACTATGCTTAACTATTCTCCAACAATAATGAAAAAAGGTAGTAGAAAACTAGCTGCATGTTTAGAGCCAAACACAACTCACATGTAGCTGACTATGTATCAAGCACAGCTCCCTTTGACTACCTTATTTCAAGCAAGCTGAGCTGATAGCTCTCTTATTTGGGTCACCATGGAAACCCAGGTCATTAATGCAGCGCAATACAATGTTTCCTTGTTGAGCTCAAGTCTAGGTGTTTTCTTTGTGCGTAAACATGTCTCAGGAACTGCCAGGTATGCTTGTTTGTTCTGTAGATTGAGAGCCAAGCATTTAGGGGTTTGAGTCATTTATAAACTGTATTATGTGAGAGAATAGAACAACCCATGCTAGTTAAATCTGGACAGCCTGTAAATGCCCCTCCCTGGGAAAGGGTTTTGCATAGGTTTGACGTGTCCCTCCAGAAAAAGGCACCACCTTTACCTTCTACTGGTGTTTATTAAAAGGCAGAGGAAATGGACTGGGGTGCCATGTGGAGGAGACTGCCTGACAGTGGGATCCTAGAGCTCTGGTACGTCGCTCCACTGCCTTCATATGTCACTGTGGATACGGGGTCATCCAGAAGGACAGGGTGTCTGCCCGTAGTCAGGAAGTAGTGGGCCTTGCTGGACCAATGGAACGGTGCTAGGCAAATCACATTCACTGTCTGGGTCAGAACCAAAATAATACAAAATACATGTTCTTCTTCTACCTTTGGACTGCGTGTGCTTTTAGTTTCCCTATGGTAAAATATTGTATTAACATTCAAAGGAATTTGTTTATGAATTCAGCTGTTTTTTCTCTATTTGCTGTTTTCTCTCTAGACATACAGTATCTAGAAAAAAATCTATGAAGTGTAATTTATTATGATTCAGGTTTGGAATACAGTTGATAGCAGACAGCTTGTTTGATGCAGGGAAAGCCAATACTCATTATTCAAATGGTCTGGGCTCAAACCAACCGTTCCTCATGTTTGCTTTACAACTCACAATTATTACTGTTTATGGACATCTAATGAGAAGGATTTCAGTTGAGCGGGAAGGAAAATGCAGTTGCAACGGAAAACCTCTTAACACAAGACAATGCTGAACCCCCAGCCTCTTTACCCCCTATAACTGACATGCCACAAGCATAATTTCCCAATATTGGGGAGACCTGTTGCCTAGGAGCAGAGTGGCTTCAGAGGAGGAATATCCAAGCCCTTAAGTTGCCAGGCCCGCCAGATAACAGAGTTCTGAAATCACACATGTGGAGACAGACAAAATAGGACCACAACAAATAGGCACACAACATTCTGGCCATTCATTACGCGGAGTAGTACAAATTCTAATCAAACATTGTGCTATACATAATGAATACAGAAGAGATATGCATTAAAAGACTGCATAAAAACACTGTGAAAAGAGCTGGAATGGAAATATTGCAGCACCTGACGATTGAAGGCATACATAAATATCTTCTTTGTGAATCTGTTCTCCTCAGTAGAAGTGAGTGGGTAAAATCACTCAGGAAGCCATGCTAGGGAAAAACAGTCATATTACAACCTATGTGTTTGTAAGGGTTGGTGTGAGGCAGTAGGCAAGGATGGTGAAACAAGGATCTTTACTGGTGGTCCAAAAGCCAGGATACAAAACAACGGACTGTACACGAAAACAAATGAGGAGCACATAGGTCTCCAAAAAACAGGCTGACAACAAACAATACGAAATACTAATTCTGACTGGAAAAACACAATGACACAGGGAGAACACTTCTCGAGTACCTGTAACTCCGTCACGTGATCCGACACTGATACGTACTGCTTGACATCAAGGAACTAGCAGAGAAAACTGAGCAAGGGAACACAGGGAAGTGAGGGCATAAATACACAGGTGAATCAGATAGCCACAGGTGACACCAATAGGCAGATAATTAGTCCCGACTGTGAGTGAGGAGGTGCCTATGGTTGTCGGAGGATGACACCTAGTGGGTCGCTCCGGAACTGCGACCCCCTCCTGTAACAGTGTTGTGATAATTTCGTATATCCTGTTAGTTCATATGCCTTGCCACCGTGATATATTGGCCTAAGGCAGAGACAATAAGAAGACACAGTGGCAGAATAAATTCAACCACACCTTTGTTTCATCACAAAACCGGAAAGCAACATCTGTCCGGTGGAGTCCACAAAGCATATTGCATGTAACAAAAAGTTAAATGACCTACAGCATGGTCAATCAAGTTCATGTTTCTGACATTTTCGGACTACTAAACAACTATTGATTCAGAACACCGGAGAGTTACTGCAAGTCGTGAAGAAAACAGGAGCTGCCTCCATTATTCCAGCACCATATCAACCTCTTCAAATCACCTATGCTTAGTCTAATACAGTGACAACCAAAAACAATTTTGTCCAATCAACTTAAGCTAAATATCATGTGGCTGTCCATGCGACTGATTTCTCCGTGTGTGTGTGTGTGTGTGTATGCGTAATTAGAAAAAAACATGTTGACTCATCCTACTTGTAGAGAAATGCCAATGCCATCCTCTTCTCTTTCATTTTGCCAAAACTGTCTACGACTCTGTCATACAGTACACACTTTTAGTTTTTGTTGTCCTAGGCTACCTGGCTAAAATGCTTGCTCACTTGCCTAACTTAATGGGCAACGATTAGCCAGCTAGTTAACATTAGCCAACTACCTCTAGCTACATATTTAACTCCCAACCTCTCAGGCCAGAGGCACAATGTATGAATTTATGGTTGGATCAGAATCACCATTATAATCATTGGCCAGTACAGAGAATTAAGAAACAACACAAGTCCAAATCCCTATCTCATTCCTGGTTAATTTAGGAAAGGGACAATTTTAGCTAGCTAACTAGCTAGCCACCGGAGGACAAAAACACAATGCGATGCAACAATTCAGGTTTTTTTTCTGTCAGTGACGTTTGGCTTTTGATGTGATGTGATGTGATTGGTGTGAAGCCAAATCCAAACTGGCTTCCCTTGACACTTTTTTTGGGTGCACCAGGACCATTCACAGTTGAGCTCACTCAGTTTAGCTTAACACAAATTGGCTATTAATGTATAATGTTTTATCAAGGGAGGCCAAATTCTTGCTGGCTTCCCTTACATTCAATGCTACAGGCGGCAACAATATCACACTCTTTTTGACCAGACAGCATCAGATAGACAGGCTATACATACAGAAACAGATGGGCGTTGTTTCACTCGCTTGAATGCTTTCTCTGGTGAAATACATTCAGCCTCTTGCAAATTGAAGGAAAATGATGAATCACAGAGAGACATGATATGTTCTTTTTTTCTTGTTAAATTTTTTGGGGAAGCCTGGCTTACCTTGACATCCATGAATACAAGCCACTGGTTCTATTTAGTGTTTTGGCTGTGGAAAAAGCCATTTAGAAGCAACACTCAATCTGGAGATGTTGCAGCAATTTCGTTTCATATATTTTTTAGATTTTCTTTTGAAGAAAAATAATTGTTCTCTTCAACTTCGATAAGATTACTAATATACTGTATAATCTGAAGTGTGTAAACATTTGTATGGCTTGTGCTGTACAGTATGCATAATACAAAAACACAGCCCTAAGATTAAGGATTTTCCTTCAAAAAATTGAACATTCCACCTACCCTATGATGTTCTTAAGTGCTGCACCAAACCAAATTTGCACCAAAGAAGCAAAATATGAAAATAATTCAAAGGGACAATATCATTTTTTCAAATGCTGGAATATAATAGAGCAATATTTTCATTATGGATGTGTTGGTCTTAGTTTGGAATTTTTGGGGGGATGCATTTACTGGTATGTGTTTTGAAGAAAACATTACTCTGGCTGGGTCCTCTTACTGCTTATTTCATTTGAGAGTCCT